GAGGTTACGACAACCCACAAAATCACAGTCCCACTGCACGTGTTGCGATTCCGAGCTGTAACTTAGTATACGGTCCAAATCGTCAAGAGCAGTCATCACTCCCTGTTGAGAGTTTGCGCGAGTGTGGCTGCAGCACCAGAGCGTATAGCAACGCAAAATTGACCCTACTTCAAACTGTCCACTTCATTTGTCCTGCCGTTTCAAAAAAGCCGAATAGCCTAACCTCCTATCGACATGCCTTGGGTTCAAACGGCCCCTAGAAGCCATCTAAAATCCTGTTCGATTACAGCCCTCCACCTCAGCAGTCTGCAACATTTGAATAGAAATGCATATATGCTTCTCACCTGCGTTCGATCTTTGACTTCGCGCAGAAAGGCGTACAGAACTTATTGTGTCTTGATGCAAACTGGCGCAATCGAAAACTAGCAGCAGTTCCGTGTACAAATACAAACGACGAGCCTCTTTAGAAATGGAACGCACACTAATACGCGCCTGATCTCGCTGCTGGCTTTCTGAAGGTGGTGAGGTGGGGAGAGTGTCTGCTGCGCTCGGTGGCGGGAACGACGGAGCGAGTGAGTGTGCGGCGCACGCAGCGCGAGCCATCTGCCGCACCGGGCGCACACGTTTTGCTCGCCGTGCTTCCCTGACGCAGGGAGCTTCGACGGCGACGGCGGACTGCGGGTCTAAAGGCCTGACCACACGTATCCGTCGCAGCGCGTCGGCGCGTGTCACTTTGACGCGGCGCCGCGCCCTCTATCAAGAGAGTGGGCACGTGGCTACGCGAAGCCACACGCTCTCGCTCTCCATGTGGGAGAGGTCTCGACGCCACGGCGTCAAAAAGACCCGCACCGACGCGCTGCGACAGATACGTGTGGTAAGGCCTTTAAAGTCTGACAGATACGTGGGGTCAGGCTTTAAAGTCCTTACCACACGTACCCATCGCAGTACCCATTGCAGCGTGTGGCTTTTTGACGCTGTGCCACGTCCCGTCAGTATGGGAAGAGGACGCGCAACTTCGCGCGCCCTCAAAAGGCCACGCGCTGACGCGCTGCGACGGCTACATGTAGTCAGGCCACAAGGAGCATCGCTCCTGCAAAAATATGCCGTTGTAGCAGTTAGACCAATCTTTTCTAGCCAGTAGCTTTCATGAAAAGTATGCTGTGGCCATAATAGAGTTTCTTAATGGCTGTGTTGGTGTTCCACGTGTAGGCACCCCAGCGCAGCAAGCTGTTTAATTTCGCGGGAACCACGTGAATGTTCAGATTTTGCGGTACACGAGTACCCCTAAGCCACTTAGATGGAAGGTATATCGTGTAATGAAATAGAGCGTGTAGCGACGTGGTTCTGTAAGCACACAACAGAAAATTAAAGCTACGTGATACACGTGTGCAGCGACACTTCTGATGAAATGTCAGTACTAATAATTCAACATTGATTTGAGATACGCACAGAAGTTCGGAAAATGTCCTTAGCATTGGGTGAACGAGAGCCTCAAAAACGAAGAAAAATGGCACTTCTTGAAATTCGGTTTTGAAGACTGACACTTCAGGGGCTCATCGCTGCCAAGATAAGACAGACGCGCATGCATCCGGCCGATAAAAGCACGCTGTTTCCTGCAGAAGACACGCTTCTGCGTGTCCCCTGCATCGGTTTCGCACGACGGACGGACAGCCGGTGCGCTTCATTTCGCTTGAGCCGCGAATGTCGGCTGTCCTCGCACGCTCTCATTCGCACACGCTACGACACGCGGAGCGAAGTTGCCGACTTCATATGCGGCCTCACCGTGACAATCAGCTGTCCTCACACGCTTGCACACTAAATACACAGCGCGCGGGACGATGTTATCAATATATAGGCAAAAACATTACGGCAGCGTCGACGGAATCTGGAGTGCTTCTATAGTTGCCACGCATGGCGATGCAAAGTTGCGGGACCACGCTGACGCGATGCGAGAACAGTTGGTTAGAAGCGAACTCGTCTAACCTCCTCGCTTTTGGCCGGTACTTCCTCCTGGCCGACCGCCTCGCCGCGCTTGGCGCTCTTCTTTCCGAGCCTTTTCTTCCTTGTCTTGCGTCGGTGTTTCTGCTTCTGCTTGACGGGCTCCTCTTCCTTGGGCTTCGGCGGGAACTCGAACAACACGGGCGGCAACGGCGTTTCGGGCGGGAGCACGGCCGTCCGGCCTACCCAGTGGTCGTCCGGCTGCCGCCGAGCTGGGCCGGATGACAAAGTGCAGCGCAGCTCGAGCCGGTGTCCCGCCGTCTCCTGGACTTCTGCTACCCTCCTGTCGGACTCCAGTACATGGCGACTGTCTCTTCTTCTTCTTCTGTTCGACATGTCGTTGGCGCCACTCTAGTAATGGTCCTTGACGATGTGGCACACACTCACACTAGGAGATTGGCCAAGAGCCGGGTAGTTTTCATGAGTTTTAACCTACTCACGATAAACAAAAGGAAGATGCAACAGGACGAATTTGATGGTTGAATTGTAAATAATCTGTAGTGTAATGCAATAAAGCGACGTATTTGATTTATGTGAATTTGGAAAAGTCTACTGAAGAATGATTTCAACACTTAAACCTCTTTGAACTTTTGACGAACTCCTGCAATACTTCCACAATATTCCCGTCGCTGTGGCCAAGAGACAAAGCCCCGAAAGAAAGCACATTTCGAGCATTTAAATCTATTCTGAGAAGGTGGCAAACGGCGCATAAAGTGTTCTTGCGTAAGGCAGAGAATCCATTACAGTAAATGAGGTAATGTTCAGTTGACTCATTTACTCCACAAACAGGACAATGAGGGTAGACTGCCAGACCAGCTCTGTGTAAATATAAATTTAGCTGCGGAAATGTTCAGTTGACCGCAAACAGGACAATAAGGGTAGGCTGCCAGACCAGCTCTGTGTAAATATAAATTTAGCTGCGGAATTCGACAGCGCAGTCTAGTGATTGCGACTTCCGTTCCTCGCGTTTGGCATATTTTACTACTCCAATGGTAGAACAAGTGTTAGAATTCTGGTGTGGCTGTTAGTGAAGGTGTAGAAAATTCCTCTAACAGCAGTTTCCTTCTTAATCTAGCGCCTATTGAGAATTTCGACGCCGGCAATACCTCAATGACAGGCCCAGTTAAAGATGACTTTGCCGGTGCATCTGCCATTTCATTCATATGTGCATCTGCATCTGCCCTTATGTCCTAGAACCCAGACCAATTTGATCAGATTGAGATGCGGGGGAACTTATGCTTTGAAAGCACTCTGAGACTGCGAATTCTCATCTGCATAAGAGACACATACCGGTAGTGAATTCGTTAAAATTACTGCGGAACTTACTGAAGCAGTTATATTACGGAGAGCTGGAATTATCGCAAAGAATTTTGCTTCAAAGATGGGCACAAAAACTGGAAGGTGCAGCGAAAAGGACCAATCTAGGGAAGGAGAAAAAATACCAATTCCACATTTTTCTTCACTTTGTGACGCATCAGTCACTATGACTGATTGTATTGACGTATGTGCCAAGTAACCTCTTATTATAGCTTCTAGAAAACTGAGCGGCATCAATTTTGAATTTTTCGAAAATATATCATCAAACTGATTTAACAGCACTGTTAATGATACTGATTAAAGAAACAGCATTAATTTAATGTCTAATTTATATAGAAAGCACTGTATAACCAGAATTTGGGGTATACAAAATCTCAACCAGTATTGTCCAAAAAACAAGTTAGGACGGTCAATAAAAACTGTTTCTGAGCACCTTACCGGCAATTCATATAGCCTGAGAAATGACTGTGTAGCTAACAATTTAAAACGGGTAGCAAGTGAAAGAAGCCTAGCTTCCAGATACAAGATCTTGATTGCAACAAACTTAGGGAGACCTAAGCATAGTCTCAAGGCTTGTCTCTCTATGACTACCAGAGAATTTATCTTGTAAGCAGGTGCCCCCGCGTATAAAACGCACCCAAACTCAAGCACGGGGCGAATATACAATGCACTGACATAAGAGTACTTCTTCGCATACCTAACCGACTATTACTGATTTTGCTTGTTATTTCCACCGCATGACCTCCTTTTGCTGCAATGTACTCAATGTGTGTCTTCCAAGACATTGAGTGGTCATGAATCACCCCCAGATATTTTACATTCACTACTTGAGGGATAGGATCCAGATAATAGGAGAGCGAGATGTGAAAAGGGTCTTTGAGTGGAAATGTTAAAACAGAACATTTCATGACATTTAAATGCAGATGTAAACTATCACGCCACATTTCTACGGCAGATAGGTGTGACTGTAATATTTGAAATAGCTTACGAATGTCCTCTTCTGCTGAAAAAATGCAATGTCATTCGCATACACATATATGTGGACGTCCTGGTACCATGGTACAGAGCTCCCCAAGATATTGAACAACACCGGGGAAAGGACGACCCCTTGCGGGACACGTCTTGTTTGCACTCGTCGATTACGACGATGGTGATAAAAAGCCCACGAGACAGCTGTGGCCATAGGTTTCCCCGCGAAAAAGCCTTCAGCGACTGATGGCTTTCATCATAGCGACGCTAGGCTAGGCTAATCCAGCTTCTTACAGCGCGAGTCAGCTGTCAAATCATTTCTGTGGTTTAGCGTCCGAAACCACGATACTATTATGAGGGACGCCATAGAGCAACGACTGAAATTACTTTAATAAGGCCCTAGGAGTGAGACGCGCCATAGCGTACAACAGGCTCGGTAGAACGCTGTAGTGGGGGGGGAGGGATGGCTCTAAAAATTTTGACCATTTGGTGTTCTTTATAGTGCACCAATATCGCACAGTACATTGCGACTCGTTGCACACGACCAATAGAGGAATGGGACACTGCGATAAAATTTTGAGCACTCCCTCTGTGGTGAGTTCAAAACACTTGAGTGCAAGCACACAGATTTTCTATAATTGAATTTTCCCTTCTTTACCTTTTTTTGGCAGGTGCTTATTTCGCAAACGATCGACAGATAAAAAGCATACAACACGTTCTTTCTGCATTCAGAGTTTAATAGGCAATACAAAAAGCAACACAATCACGGGTCCTCAATACACTAGTTCCCAGGAACATAAGAATACAAGAAGGAACCTCTTCAACCCACTCGCCAACGGTAACTTACAAACCAGTAGAAAAAAAACACTGAAATGACAAATTCATCTCGGTTGCTTCATCCCGAGGGGAGGTATATGCAAGTCACATTCACGCAAGAGTCACTCACGCAGAGAAAGAAATGGTGCCTTAGTTCAAGACTAGGTTCCCAAGCATTCAGTTCCTGCAGACCAAATTCAAGAGTGTAACCGCTGTTACCACTGCTCGTAGAAGTCCAGTTCATTCCACAAGATCTCATTTTAGACAGCACACACAAACACATACGCTGTCAAGAGGTTAAGAACCAAAGCCAGAAACAAAGGGTGGAACACAAACTATGTACAGACAATATGTTCTTTATCACATGCTCGAAGAATTGTTCTAAGCCATAATGGACGCCTCATAGTAACGAAATGTGTCCGACCATCTTTTGTTGTCGCTTCTTTCTGTACAGTATGTACAACTGGTACCCGTTGAAAAAAGAGTGAAAGTGAGAAGTCTTCTACGGCAGGCTTAAAAGGTGACTAGCGAGTTTTTTGCTCATGACTTGCAAGCACCACGACATAGGCTGCTGTTTTTGCTTTCATAACAGCAATAAAGAAAAAAAAAAACAAGACGATAACCCTTGTACAAGCACTGCATGAATCGGCTATAGGTGGAGTTGATTCTATTTAGGTTCAGTACATGATACCATCTGCCACAACGAAGGAGCTGCGTCAGCAAGGCGATAGCATTCTCATGGTAAATTAGAATGTACGACAAAATTTAAAATGAGAAGGTTCTCATAAATTAGAAACAACAAATGCAAACATGAATTACTGCACTAACTTGATCCCTTTCCAATTAGTTTTCATAGTAAAATACAACCACTGATATTATTTACCAGTTGAATCATCAAAGAGGAAATCGGCAAGATGCTGGACTCCTCAGAACTTCCACAGAGTAAAACTGCAGCTCCAGAAAGTAAACTTTACGCTAGCAAAACATGAAAACCGAAGTAAAAATTGCAACACTCCATGAACTGGCATCCCATGCACTTATTGATGCTGTCATTTAGTTTACGAATGCATAGTCTACAACTGACGTAAGCCAGCTCTGACACTAAACAGAATGACAGCAAACACTGCTATTCGTATCATAAATTCAATCAGAACAACCAAGTCTGTAGTTTTCGATTGATGAAATGAACACATTGAAGCATCTAGTCTTTGCATGTACAGCAGTACACAATGATAAGTATTACTTGAAGCGATTCAAAAGCCATATAACTCAAGCCCAACACAGACAAAAGGTTGCAATCATTATTCCACACACAGTGAACAAAGTAGTGGACACCCCCTTTGTTATGTTTCGCTGGTATGTGTCACTGGTATTGCTGCTCATTTATATGCTTACGCTTCAAGTGGAATAGATACAGTCGTCCGTACGTGGATTTACCTAGCTTTCTTCCTCTGGCTTTAAGTGCTCTCATCACTTCTTAAAAAGAATATGTGAAGCACGCAGGCCTCCACTACATCCATTGCCGCTACAGGGTTCCGCTATATTTATTTAAGCTTATCAAGATATTTCTTTAATAAGCAGAGGGTGTACAACCCATGGTTAACACTACAGTCGAAATGAATTAGGTATTTAAGCACACGAATGCTCCTACCATTCCTTAGCGATAAAATGCATGTAAAAGATAACAGAATGGTGAACAATGACACTTGCAGAACTGAAATGTTTTTAGGCAGCCACGCAAAGCTGCTGAAACTAAAACTAATGTTGCACAGTGGTTTCCTACTAGAGGCAGGGCAAATAATTTAGGAAGCTTGCTTATTACTCAAACTTCAAGTTGAGCAATTAAAGCACCATGGAATTGCATTTTCTAATCGCCAATTTCATTCCTTCTTGTCCCCCTTCTTCTACTGTTTAGATGCAGCAACATTGTCATCATAGGAATCATTAACCTGTCAGCACAGCAGCTAACAAAAACAAATAAATAAAGAAACTAATTGTTGAAAAATAGTTATGAAGATCTGGAACCCTAATTTCAAACTTTATTATTTTAATGCACGGCATTGAAAAGAGCTTTTAAAAAGTCTTTTGTCCTAGTAGAGAACGAAGCTACATTTGCAGCTGATGTGACAACATGCCAGCACTGTTATAAAACACAAAAGTGCTCTTTTCTGCTCACTTAGTTCTGACCATAGCTTAATTTTGTTCAAGTGCCCGTCCTAAGGACAATATAGCAACGTCTACTGGCAAACAGGCACCAATCAAGAAAATATGCTGTCATTTGTACTAGCATGGTTGAGATAATAATCATTCCAGGCTATCCTTGGCCAGTTTCCAGACCTTTTCTCATCACGCACCACATATAATCATCATTAGAATATTGAAGTTGGTGGTAAATTATGCACTTTTCTAAAAAAATGTAAGAAGATTTGCCCACTGACACATTCACAGTTATCAATTTAAGCTCAACAACACATGTTATAAACAGCCAAAAACATTCACACAAGTGGGCTTGTTGACATTCAACAAAAGTTTAACTTAAATTTCCCAAGTGGTCTCTATTGTCTCTAGAGTCATCTATAGTACCACCCCAAAAAATGTCAAAAAATTAATCCCATGAAGGGCCAAACATTCATACATTATATTATCGGTGCCTGTACGGAAAGTAGCTTCATATTGCAAATTGGCAACATACGTAAAGCTCCCTGAGAAAGCTTGTCTGCAGAACATGCTATTCGGTCCTGATTTGCCTACAGCATAAGCAACATTATATTTGTAAAAAACGAATTACTAATCACAAAGATTACATTGCAAATTTGTGTTAGCAATATCTGCATTTACTGAACCTAGGAGGGCATGAGCCCAAATTTAAAAGATATGTAGGCTGTTTGCGTATATTTGCACTAATCTGGAAAGCATGATTAGTGTGCTCTACAGATACAGCCTGATACCTCGGAACATGTAACTGGTAGTCCTATGTATTGTCATAATACATAATAATTTTCCTTTACTCATACATCAAAAAGTTCATTCTATATGTGCCGAAACTAAACTTGTTATTCTAAACATAAATTTGAAAATCTAAACATGCACCTAAACTTATCTAGATTCTTGCAGGCTCCCCAAGAAGTCACAAACTGCACTCTGTGGCTTACAGAATTCGCAACCTTCTGAAGACAGGCTCGCTCGTGGAATTTTCCCCAGCATCATCAACAGTAACCCCAGTATCAATGCAAAACATGCCGCACTGCAAGAATCAGTACGAGTCGTGAAATTAAATCTCTCGTTAATGGCCCCATTCTCACTGCAGTCGAAAGACAGGCAAATAAAAAATTGAGAAGCAAGCTGGAAGGAATCTGAAGTATGGACGTTATGTAAGGTCGGAAGGCATATTCTTATTAAAACACAAGAAAGTGCTGGCCAAAAAAGGATTGCTTAAATGATTTGATCCCAGTAAACCTACACCTTTTCAGTTGGCATTCTGCAACAGTGTTTAAATGTGGCAGGAACACAGTTCATGTACTAGTGTCGACAATACTACGCAATCATATAAAACATGGGGATTTGGATTTTTCTCGCAGAGTCCATGTGAGAAGCACAAAAACAAGTCGACAGCCACAACCACCAGCAAGAATTACAAAAAACATCAGCACCAGAACGGTGATACACTTTTTAAGTAGATGGGACTGATGGTGATGGCTCGAACAAAATATTGCTAAAAAGAAACACAACGAAAAAAACACTGTTTGAGCTCTTGGAAATTGGCCTCACAGTTCACGCAAAAAAATATTGAAAAAAAAAAACCTATAAAATTTTAACAGCAAGTTCTCAAAAAGCAACAGGATTACTGCAAAATTGCCATATGAAAGCCAGTGAAACCTTACTCAAAGGAAAACAAAACAATACCGTCAAACATCTATAGATAAAAGTCAAATCCGATTCAAGAAGTACCTTTACAATGTATCCGAAAATTCCACTATGGGTATGTATTTACAACACTGCATTAGCAGCAAGACTATTCCTCACTTATTTCATTGTACCTGAAGTTTCATTATATGTGATTTGTAATAAAGAGGTGATCTGCGAAAAAATGTCGACACACTGCAGTCATCAGAGGTAATGAGGTACGACGTGAACATACCGACACACATGCGCAGACATACACACACAAAAACAAAAACATGGACACAGGAGAGTCAACTTTGCAGTTGTGGCTGGAAACTGTCATCCCTTCTCCCCATCAATTTGGGTACTAGGTTCGCATGACTTGTATCTACACTCAAAAATACAAGCCCAAGAAAGGCGAGAACTTGGGCTCATAACGTGAGAAAAGAGAAGAGCGATTCCCAGGTACGACGAAAAAAACTTGTCGAGCCGCTTATGAGAAAGTACCACACTGCAGGGTTTCGACCGAGTCTCAACCGAGTGAGTCGAAAAATGTGCTCGCGAATTCCACAAGTGTGACATAAGAGTGAGGTTTTCGAAGTCCACTAGCCTTGCCTATATCACTATATCCTCAAGGTATGTCCTATGATCACTCAGCATAAAGTGTACTGTACTTGCTCCATCATGACTCTCCACAGAATGCAGAGACAACTGCAGAGTAAGTTGACAGCGGCAGTCAAATCAAAACGTCGAGGTACCACCTGTTGATAAAACAAGTGAAAAACACTAATCAGCAGGTTAGAAAAATCATCATCCCACTTGAAAGTGCATAAAGTGACTATGACATGGACTTTGTTGACATCCCAGTGTCCTGGCTGGGAGCATCTTCTTGCTTCACTTGCAAGGACCAGCCATCAAAATGGCAGCCAAACATTTCCCTTCAATACCAAACGAGATCAACCACATTAACAGCATGCCCAGCATGCCGAAAAGTCCATGTGCTGTCACGGTTGGACAAAACAGTTTGGCTGGTGACAAATTTCTCTCCACAGCATCAACTCAGAGAGGAAATCTATGATGGTAACAGAATTGCTACATGTGCACCTTGCCTCATTCTCTAAGCAGAGCACATGAATGTTGAATCGAAGATTTGCACATTCAGCTCGAGTTGAATGTCATCTCTTGAGGATAAGTACAGTAGACTCCACAGTATCCAGGAAGGCACTACTGACTGTAGCTTGTGGAAAGTAGTAGCAGTACAATCACGTGAGATCGCTCAGCCTTGGTCACTTAACCAAGTGAAAACACACAAGATGCATCCGAATGTTCTTCATGTTCAATTTGTTCCAAAACTCATTCAGATGTTAACCTTCTCTGCTGACTGCACTGCGGAGACCATTGCTGTCTCTCGGAGGGCACTCGCAGACGTAGTGGGGATGCTTGTTGGAACACCAGTCGTCGACGTCCCAGCAATGCCGACGAGACCGCTCAGGTTTGCAGCAAGGCTCGGTATGTTGGCCGCTATGCTTCCCGAATAGAGTGGAGACACTGCAGCCGACGCCGAGCTCCTCCGCGTAACCTCCACCAGGAATGGTCCCGAAGATGGCTGCTCGACGATGAATGGCTGCGGCAGCTGCCTCGACGGTGTGGTGCTCAGCACCGTCATGCCACTGCTGGGCGTCGTGCCGCCAGGCTTGTACACGAGCGATGAAGACACCGTTAGGTTGTTTAGCGAGGTCCTTGTGAAGCTGGTGCTGTTCCGGCCGAGGCTGCTCAATGTGCTGCCACGGCCTATGCTGCTCGAGGCCGATGTCCGGCCAACGCTGCGGCTTCCCTGGTCCAGGCTGGCGCCGATGCCGCCACCGTTCGCGCCGCCGCCCCCATTGCTGCTCCCAGTGTCCGTCCCAGTGTAGCTCACAGAGTGCGAGCCGCTCGAGTGGCTGCGGCGGGCTGCATTTTGCATGGAACGAGAAAAAGTACGAAAGAGATTTGTTGACGCTTTCTTTTTTTTAACACAAAAGTGTTTTATGCAGGGGACCACCAAGACATTAGTGACGTATTTCAGTGACAGAAATACGTCACTGCAAAAAATATGTCACTGACAAAAATATGTCATTTTCGTGACATATTGCGGTCACAAAAATGACCTAAAAAAATAAGCAAGATGAGAAGACAAAAATTTCCGCCAACGAGATCCGAAGCCATGACGCTGTCCACTGTACCATGATTCCATACTTTGTATGCATTAAAAAATACGTTTTTTATATCTACCACTGACCCCTCACAGTGTTCTTGGCAAAGTGCAGTAATGCCTCGTGACCGTGGCATCTGCGGCTATCGTATTTACTCACATAATAGGTGCACTTCCATAATAGACGCAATCCAAGTTTAGTTGCGGGAAATTACGTTTTTTATTTGCGTGCATAATAGGCACACCCAGAACTTGGACATGATCAGGAGTTATGCAATGTATTTGCGCAGTTGAAATTTGACGCCATCTTGCATAGCTGGAGCGAGGGAAAAATAAAGACCACGGCCGCACTGCGCGGGCTCTCCAAGCGAGGAAGAAGGGCGGTTGCTTGTGTATCAGAGTAACTTTAGCGCTTATGTTAGCGTGGCTCCGGCGGCGCGTGCTCCGCTTGAAACGTGCGATCGCATCTTCATCAAGTTTCCTGTTGCGAAAAGAGTCATTGTTATTACGCTCGCTACCTTGTCTCCAAATTTTAAAGCTTTTGGGTTTTCCCACGCGAGCTTTCGCCTTTGCTGCCAGTACGTGGGCTTGGATAAGCTCGACAAACTTTTGTAGCCATTGATTTTCCGGCCGCAAACCTGCGGTCGGGAAATCCTGCGGTTGGAAAACGCGTGCTGCTCTTGGATCAGTGCTTGAGTACAATCTTTTTGACGGGCGATCTTCATGTTGTGTCGTACAAACTTCCCGGGACAACATGCCGAACCACAGGCTAAGCCTAATCAGCATTAGTTGCTTTTCGGTAGTGCTCGTCTGCAATTAAAGTTGTGTTTTTGCACCGGAATCAACGTAACTTTCGCCGTGGCTCTGCTAGAAGGAAAGAGGGTGTGGGTGGCACTTGTATCACTTGAATGGTGGTTTGAGATTCGATTGCAATGTCCTTGGATATGGGGTGCAAAGCCATAAAATTCCCCACTCTTTCCTTTTGTTGCTTTTGTATATGTCATGCTTTCCACTTTTTACTCTCTTTATTGTTGATGTTGTTTTGAAATGTGTATGATAACTGTATTATCTTGCCCCTCCTGCTTTGGCCTCTGGCCAGCAGTATTTGTAAATAACAATAAAATGAAGATTCACTACCGTTCAGCGCACGAAAATTAGGGTCGTGATAATGCGCATAATCTAGGTAGCCTGAAGCATAATCGGCAAATCTCCGCGATGGCGCTTTCTTTTTGTAGTTTTTTTCCGCGTTCAATATGTCGGCAAAGCAGGTCTTTCGATCTTAAGGTTTTGGAAATTTGATTGCTTTCAAGCAGACCGCATCGCATGCCTCAATTTTCGTATGTGCCAGTGTAGCGTATGAAGAAGGCTGTTTCGACTGCAGTGCAGATATCGTGACTTCGGTGACTTACGCTATCATCGGTCTATGCTGTAGTCAGAAACAAAACTTGTATAAATTTTAGCCCGCGCAATGGGCGCACCCCTTACTGGAGGCTGTATCTTCTGGGAAAAAAAAGTGCGGCTATTATGCAAGTAAACAGAGCGTCGCTTCTAAGCGTCTGCACCATTCGGCGCATTTCTAATAGCAGAAGTGCAATTTTGTCAACGCTTTAACACACCTCCCGGTGGCAGCCTTACCCTGAACATCAGAGTCGCTCATAGCATCCATCCATACCAAGCATAGCTCTGCAACCTCTAGTATAGTGTACCTAGTATAGTGTACTATACCTCTAGAATGCATGTAGGAACGCACCTGTCTCGGCTGGATGTATAATCGACGATAACTTTCTGTGGCAGCACAGCCTAGGCTACGAAGCCTAAGCACATTCACTTTTACTACGTTTATGCATGTAGTTCACGAATGCTAACTTTTGTATACTGCGTAGCATAATGGAAATTGGAAAATATAAAGAAAGATGTAAATAGTATGCTCAAGATTGTTCGCATTATTATTACGAAGCTTGAATCGTGCAGGTTTTTTTTATCTTTGCTGTTTCTAGTTTTTTGGTGTCATGCCACTTTTTCGATGGCCCGGTAAACAACGATGGTGTCGCTCGGTTGCAGAAAGCCCACATCAAAGCTTGCGAGTGAGCATGAGTGCGCGTTCATTAGGCGATCTGTATTCATTGAGCAGAGAGAAACGAAGACATTTATGCGTCGTGAAATATTTTGTTTCCCACACATGCAATCACTGAGAAGTTGTGTGCGAGTAATACCATGAAGGAAAGCAGGACTCTAATCGCTATAGCTGCCTGGAAAGTGACATTGGCATCCTGCCAGACTTCAGCAACACCAGCTGCTTGGAAGAAAAAGTGCAATTGAAAACTGTACATAAAAGCAATGACCTTTTTTCTAAATTGCAATGCATACATGGGCGTTATCTTGGCTGCCTAATATTACTGATGGGATCACACTAAAGATAGATACGGTACTGTAACATCATTCCAGTCTGCGTTTACGGAGGGAGTGGTTTTTTGTGCTTTGTGATGAGAGAAATTTATGAGGATAAAATTACCAGTACAATGCTTCACCTAGACAACAGATAGGTTCATGTATATTACCTTGTTGACTGTAGAAAGACAGCGTTTCTGGCCGAGTAAAGATTGCGTTTCACCCGCTTGGATTTACAAACGTCAGATGCCCACTCAAGACCAATCGGTGCCAAGACTTCTGCTTCTCGTCGTTGCCTCTGCGTCCTCTCAAGAAACCTACGTTAGTGTCTCCAGAAAGTTTTTGTGTCTCTAAAGAAGGAAAACAACGATGCCAACTAAGCATTCACTAAATTTCAGGAAATGGTTTTTTGGGTTTGGGTTGTTTTTTCACTGAACTTCCGGAAATGGCTTTGTGGGTTTGGGTTGTTTTTCTGATAGCCCAGTTCCTGCTCAATGGTGCCTTTTTCTAAAAAAATAAACTTGAACGCTTTAGTGAAGCTTCGTGTTCTTTTCCTTAAAAAAAATGCACATTTTAATAATTTCCTCGCAAATTAATGCAACATTTATCGTACTGGTGCTCGTGCGAAAACGTTCTATGTTTGATGCGCTTGCGAAACTAAAACCGAAATCGCATGAGAACGAACTACAATAGACTCTCGTTAAACTAAACCTGAAGGGACCAGTAAAATGTGTTCCATTTAATAGGAGTTCCATTTACTGAGAAATGAACAGGGGCGCAATGCAAGAACAAAACCAATCTTGTCAGTAGCATTTGTTCCATTTTAAGTAGCAGTTCCATTAAACAGATTTCCATTTACTGAGAGTCTACAGTACTTGGCATAGTAACACATGTGCGCCCACAAGGCTTTGGCTGTGCTGTCACAGAAAGTTGTAGTCGAGTATAGCTACACTGTTAGGCACTTACACTCACCCCTCGAATAATTGCCGCCAGCAAAAGGGAAAACACGATGCACGTTGCGTTTCTCTGGTCGTGCTGCGGTGTTCAATAACTCCGACATGCCACAAACAGGTGACCTTAGACTCAGTTCGGTGTTCAGTCACACTCTTTTCGCTGTCACATGGCTTTCTCTGGTTCCATTTTCATGTACCGTTAAATACTATAGCTGCTACAAGCATCTATCAGGTCATAATCATCATCAGCCTGACTATGCTCACTGCAGGGCAAAGGCCTCTTCCATGATCTCCAATCAGCCCGGTCTTGTGATTTCCATTGCAAGGTTATACCTGCAAACTTTTTCATCTCATTAGCCCACCTAACGTTCTGTCTTTGTTTAATCATTAATGATGAACCCTGACCATCAGCGTGGATGCGTCCACGTCAAGTGACGATGTAGCTGTCAAACACCAATGAATCTTGTGCAAGCTCTGTTATTACAAAATAAGCTCTCTTAAGATTATAAAAAAGCTCTCTTAAGATTATAAAATACTTCAGTAAGAACGCATTTTTCGTGTTTTACCGATTCCTATAATAGAGGGATCAACCACTTCTTTTTTTTATTTTGGTGTTACAGTGATGCTATTATGGTGTGACTATAAAACCAAAAAGGAAAAAAGCTGTGATAGCTCCCGATTTCACGGCGAAGCTGCGATAGCTCGATCAGCCGAACTCTGCTGCACTCGCGATTGGTTGCGTAGTGTGGCTGTGCCTAGAGTGTGCAATCATGCAAGAAGGGAGACATGTGCCCTTAGAAATTTACAAAGTGACGAACGCACAGAGGCATGGATGGACTGACAGATCAGATGCACGGACGGTAGGATGGACAAAGTACAATCTATTTTTAAACCATATGTGCGCTGTGAACGCTTTACGTACGAGGTATATGTAACACATGTGTTTCAGACAGTCGTAAATCTCGGCGTCCTGACGATATCAATGAACATCGTGCGAGCCTAAGAACGATGCAAATAAACCTCTAACTTCTAGTCCTGCTTTTATGGCAACACTTAAAAGTTAGCAATGCACTTCACTTCATAAACTGACATTTTTAGCAAAACTAGATTTCCCACACATTCAAGCAAAATATCTAACCACCAGACAACGGCACTAAAAATGAAATAAAATTCTACAAGATACATTTCACAGACACCGTGAAAGGGCGAAGGTTTTGCGTTTCCCTTTATAAGGCTAATGTATTTCTTAGTTTTGCAAGTTTTTCGGTTATGTCGTATCACTGTTCTGTATTTAACACTATTTGTCAAGTTTTAGGTGGCAGCACAGCTTTATTGCATCTTGACCACGCCAATCTTATAGAAAGGTTTACAAGAAGCCTTTGCTTGAGATGCTCCAATATGGTGCATCACTGATCTTT